GAGCCGGCCTAACCTGGCAACTTGATGGGTTTGTAATATCCTTGGAGACGGCCTAACCTGGCAACTTGATGGGTGTTGTAATATCCTTGGAGACGGCCTAACCTGGCAACTTGATGGGTGTTGTAATATCCTTGGAGACGGCCTAACCAGACAACTTGATGGGTTTGTAATATCCTTGGAGACGGCCTAACCTGGCAACTTGATGGGTGTTGTAATATCCTTGGAGACGGCTTTACCTTATGCTCGATGCCATCTCTTGAAACTTTGCTACAAGTTCCACAGGTACAAGTTAGTGATCTGACCGTAGTCCAACTGTCTTCCCAAGTTTGTGGGTGAGATTAAATAAGAAGGATCTTGGGCTATGTGGGTTTCGACAAACACTTCTATATTGAATAAATCTGCCCCTGCATTACAGTGAATTATAAAGAAAATGTTTGCACGTGAATTTTTGTTAGCACGCATCTCTGCAGGCAGACTGACAGTCCTGAAAACTTACATACCGAAGGAAGAACGTCAGAGGTGACGTCAGATAGCGTAAATGGCGTGCTCTGGTGGCAATATTTAAAAATTTGTAAATGCGATCCTCGAGTCTCCGTATGTATGAACTGAGGAATGCATGATGTAACTGTAGTCACCATATATGCTCAAGTTGTAAAGAAATGTGATGGAACACGTTTTTCACGAAAGTCTATACTACATACCAGATTTATATAGAAACATGAACACGTTTTTCATGAATGTCGCTACTACATACAGGTTTTATATAGAAACATGAACACGTTTTTCACGAAAGTCTATACTACAAACCAGTTTATATAGAAACATGAACACGTTTTTCACGAAAGTCTATACTACAAACCAGTTTATATAGAAACATGAACACGTTTTTCACGAAAGTCTATACTACATACCAGTTTTATATAGAAACATGAACACGTTTTTCACGAAAGTCTATACTAAATACCAGTTTATATAGAAACATGAACACGTTTTTCACGAAAGTCTATACTACATAACAGTGTTATATAGAAACATGAACACGTTTTTCACGAAAGTCTATACTACATAACAGTGTTACATAGAAACATGAACACGTTTTTCACGAAAGTCTCAATTAAATACCAGCTTTATATAGAAACATGAACACGTTCTTCACGAAAGTCTATTAAATACCAGTTTTATATAGAAACATGAACACGTTTTTCATGAAAGTCGCTACTACATACAGGTTTTATACAGAAACATGAACACGTTTTCATAACGTAACACAATTCTTGTTTAACTGGTTAAATTACTGGTGTATCATAAACCCTTATCTGGTTACATAGTCAAGTAAACGACGTCGCACTCGGAACTGGTTTCTCCAATAGAAACCCTGTATGGCTAATACTCATCATTGACAAAATTTACCACAGACCAAGTAATTCGGTTTCAACAGGAACCGTTACCGACGCATGTCACTTTTTCTTTTCCAAGTCTCAGAGGCCACCTAGCGTTCACTTAAGTCACCTTTCTTGAAGCTCTTTGGCACCGCAGAGAAAGATGTCAACTATTCGCACTGCGGTCTAATTTATCTTAATAATGTTTGCTCTTCAGTTGCTAGGTTACCGGATGTATCTTCGCAGGAAGCTGATGTGAGGAGTCGACAAGTCTAATTCGCCCAGCGAATAATGGAAATCGATACAATAGGCAAGTTAATTTAAACAGAATTCCTTTTGTTGCGAGCTAATGGATACTGCGATTCTTCGCTAAGATGGGTGCGAACAAATCACTTTTAACATACTCCTCGTTTCAAATCGCTGCCGTTTCCAGCTGAAGCAAAGATCTCCGCTGTAGGAATCTCATTAATACGTACTACTTAGGTTTAGGCTTAATTATAACAAGCAGGCGGATGTCCAAGCTTTTCAAACCTACTTTCAATCTTCGCATTAACGTTTATGATCAGTAGTTAACTTCGATTAAACGAATTCGCTCTGTTTACTTAGAGCTCACTACTAACAAATTAGTTAACTTCTGATCTAATCTTGATCGGCTTTTGAGAAACAATTAATAAAAAACGTTTGAGGAAATGAAGGTAAACGTTAAGTAGAGCCATACAGCGTCAAACGTTACAGATAATTTAGGCTAAATGAAATGCAATATCTTTACGGAGAGCAGTCATTGTGGATGTGACTATTCCACCAGGGGACGCTGTATAACATTTACGTCTTCTCCCCGTACTATTCTAATTATTCATCATATTACTAAAATATAAAACAAACATTTCTGGCCGAGATGACTCATGTTTCTTTCTCTTAATTGGTGGTTGCTATCCCAGGGGTTAAACTCACCAATGACTCTATTTATGTGAATAACTGTTTCAAGCTTTAGTTATTGAACGACACAAGAATCAAGTGAGTAGAAGACACTTTTCAGTTAGTGTTCATGAGAGAGTAACCTTACATAACAGTTAGTGTTCATGAGAGAGTAACCTTACATAACAGTTAAAGTCCATGAGATAGTAACCCAACTTATGCAAGCAGCCAGATGACTTTGACCCATGTTAAAGTTCACAAGAGGGTAACCCAACTCTGTGCAAATAGCCATATGGCTTTGACTCAAGTTAAAATGCCTGCAAAATGGTCCATAAATATGTTGCACACATGCGAAAATACCTAGCGTCGTTAACTAGGGGATTAATCCTGAGTTTTGAAGAAACATATGCGTTTCCAAAGTACGTTTCCAGAAGTCGAACCCAGTTATATAAAACAACTTTTGACGTGATTGCTTGTTTTGCCCTCTCATCACTTAATAAGCTTATTGTTCTATTTATTTATAACATTGGTTATACTTTATTTTATTATAAAGATTGATTTGCATTGTTGACTTAGAATTTGTATTTAGGACTAACCTGAATCTCCTAAGCTGGCCGAACCTCGTGAAATATTATTGGGATTATGGCCAAAAATATCGTTAAAATCGAAGATACCCAACTGATAGAATAATACACCCTAATTTTCATAATAATAATAAAAACATAAGAGAAATATAATTATTTAGCTATATTAATTAACGGGTTGATTTTTAACTTTGTTGAAAGTACTTACTCTGATAGGTTGTTATTTATCCAATGAAAATATTACAGGTTTTATTTTGATGTATCTTTACCTCTTTAATGCACTGAAGACGTTCGTTGGTTTGTTGTATGTGTCTTTCCATAGCAGACATGGCCGATTATTCACCGTCACTCGTCTACAACGCTCTCTGGTGGCAACTCATTCCAAATCTCTACAGATTAGAAAAACAAACAAAAACTGCAAAATAACCATTCCAGTAGAAACATATGAAATAATACTAAATAGTGCTCTAAATCTGCCATTTCTCGAAGAAGCAAATTTCATGGTTTATCATAGTTTTACAAAACAAGTTTATATAACAACATCAGAGTCTAAGAACAATAGCGAGTACAAGCTTTTTAGACTCTGATGGTGTTATATAAACTTATCATACGTCATGATGGTGTTATATAAACTTGTACGTCATCAAGCTTGTACTCGCTAGTGTTTTTAGAATCTGATGGTGTTATATAAACTTGTACGTCATCAAGCTTGTACTCGCTAATGTTCTTAGAACCTGATGGTGTTATATAAACTTATCATACGTTATCAAGCTTGTACTCGCTAATGTTAGGATTCTAAAAACACTAGCGAGTACAAGCTTGATGACGTACGATAAGTTTATATAACACCATCAAATTCCAAGAACACTGGCGAGTGCAAGTTCAATAACAGATAATGAGTTTATATGACACCATCAGGTTCTAAGAACACTAACGAGTACACAGTTGATAGGATAAGTTTACAGCAGATTATACGATTGTTAAGGCCTGTAGTTCAAACAGTTGTGTTCTAATTTTAAGTTCGAAGATCAAAGTTGATCAAACTTAACACTGTTATGTGTGAAGGAGGTTGAATGTTAGCTGATCAAACTTAACACTGTTATGTGTCAAGGAGGTTGAATGTTAGCTGATCAAACTTAACACTGTTATGTGTGAAGTGGGTTGGATGTTAGCTGATCAAACTTAACAGTGTTATGAGTGAAGGAGGTTGGATGTTAGCTGATCAAACTTAACACTGTTATGTGTCAAGGAGGGTGAATGTTAGCTGATCAAACTTAACACTGTTATGT